ATTGAAGTCATGAACAGGCGAGCGATGACTTTCACACTACAAGACCTTGTTTGCACAAGGTGCCATCAGGTATGTGAAAAACTTAGGCATCATTAACCATTAAGACACTTGTATAGAACATATCAACTCTTTTATCATCATCAGGTTTACTACACATCCCCACCGAGGGGCTCGGAGCCTACCTTATGTTAGAGGTGACTAGGCCATACCCAAACCAGTGCGGTTGACTTTACGCATATCTTTGGATTTCTTCTCAGACATGTGAAGGTTGCATCACAATGTTTACCTTCACCTTAAGAATGTTGGATAAAGGTACACATGTGAATTGAAAATCGAAAAACATATTGGTACATGACGGGATTCGCACCAAGGACATGCAGATTACAAATCAAGGGCCTAACCCCAGAGTCACCAACAATCTATAGTTTCATTGTAAAATGTGAAAATATATCGAAATTTCACAATAATTTAATTACAGGTGAAAAGAGAAAATCTAGCTGTTGTATGCGACTGTGCTGGTGACTTTGCACTCATGGTCCCGCAGAAAGAAATTCAAACACAACTCATTACATTTAAGACAATTGCTGAATACTATAAAATGCCATTATTATTAGAACTGATTGAATTCAATTTAAGTAACATGTGATATAATATTTAAGATGTACAGTTGGCTTCATTAGGATTCCATCTCAAATGAAAAAAAACATATGGTAACATTATGATGCTTGTTTTTTTTATGGATGATATTACTGGTAACACTATAATTTTTTTTTTGCAAAAGTTTGAGATCATTGATTTTTCTTTGTAACTGGAATACTGCAAATGAAGACCACTGTATTTTGTTAAGCCTATACTAAGTGAATTGAAATAAAAATTGTGAATGATTTTATAATATTTTATTTCTAAACAGTACACAAATGGAAATATTTTATTAGTTTATATTTCATGTATATATTAATTAATAAAATAATGACGCAAAACAAAAAATGATTGAAATATGAATGTATTAAAGATCATTATTCATTAGTAGGCAGAAAATTAAAAATATTTTTGTAGATTTTTTTTATTTTACAGGTTATAAGGCCTTTTTGGTGTTTATTTTTTTCCTCTATTGCCTTTTACTTTCTCAATGAACTAATATCTGAATTTATTCAATTATTATTTTCGAAGAAAAAAAAATCAAAATTATATTGAATTACACAACTATTTTTACATTAATTCACAAAATTATACAAATATAACTTAAAGTGTGCTTCTTTCTTCATTAGGTGTTTGTCCTAATCCTTTAGCAACTTCACTTATACATAACCATTGGCCATCAGCATTCTCTCTCCAAAGGCTCACCTTATTATCACCACCAGAAACAGCTAAGATATTACCAGTTAGGGACCAACTAAGACTCCATACAACATCATCAAATGTGTTCAAAATTACTGGACTCCAAGATACATTGTCATCACTCGTCCAAATGACAACTCTCTTGTCTTGGGAGCAACTCGCTATCATGGAATGTTGTAGACCTAATGATGGTGCCCATGCAACATCTCTCACCCAGTCCATGTGCATTTCAAGACGATTTTCTTCAACCCATTGGTCACCTTGTTCTTTCCATATCTGAAATATAAATATAACAATGAATATTAGAAAGGAATGAATTGTTTTACGAGAACTTGCATATGAAGTAATATAGAAAAAGGTCTATCTAAAAATAAATACTAACTATGATAAGTTTATAGTTATAAATATTTTTTCTTGGTTTGTAGTACTATTGCTATGTCATTTATTGCATTTTAAATGTGTTATTATTTAAAATAAATTATTACCTTTATCAAATTATCACATCCACCTGAAACTATTCTTTTGGGCGCATCCCGATTAGTAAGTGGATCTAAACTTAAGTCCGCAGAAATCGCGGGACACCAACTTATAGAATTGACGCCAATAGCATGAGCGCCAGGAATCTTCTTAACCTCCCAATTAGCACCATCTTGATTGTAAGTAATAATAGATATAGATCCGTCTGAACTACAACACGCTAGTATAAGCCCGTATTCAGCGGGAGCCCAAGCTACGGAATTCACAGAGCTTTCATGACCAGTATATTCATACAATTTTGTCCATTCGCCAGATTCTTTCCAAATAATAACTTTCCTGTCGTAAGAACAAGAAGCTAGCAGATTTCCAAACTTTGGATGTGCCCATGCGACCTGCCACACTGGACCAAAGTGACCCTTCAAATCAGCAGCAAGGGTCTGCGTGCCACTCTTGATATCGTAAATCTTTACTGTGTTATCCGAAGAACATGTTGCTAAACGTAATCCGTAGTAGTCTAATTCCGCATCATGTATCATATCTTCGTGGCCCGTGTCTATAGTATTCAAAACACTAATCATCTTGCAGATTTTTGGTTAAAACAATTATTTAACCCAAATATTCCGGTCTTATTGCAATTTATAAGAACTGTCAGTGAACGAATTTTGTATTTGTCAAATTCGTTGACGTGGAATTTAGAGTTGCTATCTGAATAACTATATTTTCTGAGATAAACACCTAATTTTGCTACGGAAGTAAGAATTAAGACTTAATAGTAGCTAATAGTTAATAAAAGCGATCAAAATATTAAATTGTAGACATTCATATTTATCTTCAAAAAATAATTTTTCATATAGATTAACCATACCATTTGTGCTTGTCTTGTATCCAATTGAATTGAATGACAGCTTGTCAATGTCAATTCTAAATTCTAGTGGAAAAAGGTAACAAGTGTTTATCATTACTTTCGCAATTTTGTATACTTTTCTGAAAATACTGATGAGGTAATAATGTGAACTAGAGATACTTAATTTAAGACTAAATGAAAATGCCCGAAAATGAAGGAGGTGTCTTTTATAACTTGCAAACTTTACTAAATCAAGATTATCGCGGCGTAAACGTATGTATAATAGGGTCATTTGAGTTGAACTTGAGATTTATCACTTGTTAAGTCTAATGATGTTTTTCAGATAGCGGTATATGCGCTTGCTACTGCGTCTCTGGCATTTTCTATACATAAAATCCGTCCGGTAATTACTTTGTCATGTTTATTATTGATATTATGTCGGTACATTACATAACATTAATTATAATTACTATTTACAAGGTAAGCAAGTTCTCAAAAGCCTCCAAAGTTCCCGACCACTTTATCAAGAATCATGAACCGCTGAAGGGAGTATACACGGGTGTACAACATTCGCCTGTTCGTCTCCTTATAAACCACAGGGCACCAATTTACTTACCCTTATGGCATTCCAGTAAACCACCAATCCCAGTCAAGGTTAGTTACAATGTTTTTAAACTCCATTGATTCCACTGTTTATTATTACAAATATAAAGTCAAGAATTTTAAACCATATATTCCACCTGTTTTTACATATACCTCCTTGGACATTTTAAAAATAATAAAGAGTTTGATTGCTCAATATTCCTTCAATCTTACTTCTTAACTTTTTAACTCGTTTATGTTTCACATAATGCATTAAATCATTTTATTTAATAAAGCAATAATGATTAGAAAATAATTTAATTTGATACATAAAATGTTAGTTAAGTTATAAACTTTATTTTTCATTTTAATTTTTTAAGTTATGGGGTGTGGACATTGTGAGTGGGAATGCTGTCAACTGGCTGGAGTGTGTGGCCAAAGGACAGAAAGTTACTATCAAACCAATAGGAAGAGACAAGGAAGATTTAGTTTCAACAGTTCTACTGCATTTACCACAGGCTGGGGTATTTGATATTTATATCTTATTTGTAGCATAATTTCATGTGTGTCCAAAGTACTAAAGACTCATCATTAAGTTAGTGACTACTTAAACTAGACATTTTGTTCACATTCAAAAACAATTTACATATTTTTGATAAAGCCTCACTTAAATATATCACAATAGCTGACATGTGCCACTCCATTCGTGTGGTATTAAAAAAACTATGAGTAGCCTATGTGTTCTTCAAGAGGCAGACCTCTATAGACAAATTCAGTGAGATCTGCTGTGTTGTTCTGGAGATACCTTTAAACAAACATCCATCCATTGAAACATTCACATTTATAATATTTTCGAGATATACCTTCATCAGTTGTAGCCTTGAATCTGTTGGAATATCTCAGAAGATTGATAATAAGTTATCTAAATAAAACATGTTCATGTTGCATTTTTTAAATATTTATGTTGTCATCAAATTTATAAAACAACTACATATTTTGTAGGTTTGGTGAATATAGAACTTTTTAAATCATGATTTATAGATAACTTTATCTTATCATGAAGTAAACAATAAAGTTAACGGAAAAATATAACTAAAACCACTTTATAACCTGAAGTAATGTAATAATCAAATTATTTTTTTTCAGACAAAATCTATGGAGACATTAGATATTGGACAAAAATTAGTTGAACTCGGCTTTGCCCAAGCCTCAGTTCCTCAGCCTATTAAGAAGAAAACCTTGGAATCACAACTAGCACCCGCCATAATATCCGCGGAATCATGTGCAAAGAAATACCGAAACGGTGTTTGGTCCGACAAGCTACCCAAAATACCGTTCTATGTCACTTACTGGAGGAAAGGTTCACAAATGACTATTAACGCTCTCATCATAACTGCCAACAAATTTGTACAATTTTTGACTTTTGCCCTTAAAAGTATTTTAATAGGCACAAAAAATTTGGCGCTGCGACCATTTAGATCCCCCTCAAAATCAATTCAAGCTTCATAGTTATTGGATATGTTCCATTTGTTATTTAAATATTGCAGGTTTATAAGAAAAATATGGAATCTTAGATTTATCAGTAAGTGTTGGAAATTTTGTATTGTAAATAGTTGACAATAAAATTGTGGCTTAATCATTTTTTTTTAATTATTAACCTTCATTTGTCATCACTGGTTGGAATCTGTTAAAGATAAGAGGTAGGAATAAAAGGTAATTTGTAAAAAAGCACTGTTTATTCAAATTAAATATGTCGTATATATTACATTAAAATATATATCTTAATTAAAATAGCGAAAAGAAAAATACAGCTAATAATCTAATTAATGAAATAATATCCATTGAACCATATTATGTAACATCAACTAATTTTGTCCTAATAAAATAATTGTTTAAAGAAAATATATTTTTTACAGAAAATTTAATGACAAAAATACTGTTTCATGAAACAGCAGTCACCGAAGCTCAAGTTAATACTTTCCAATTCAATCTAAACTTAAAAATTTTATTGATATATTGGATAATTTAAAAATATCATGTCATTACCAACATAATATTTCAATTGCATTACTAAAATATTTTTTTTAAAAACACTGCACCATTAACCCAGCTTTGTGCGACTGCACTTCAAGATAAATGAATTCGTGGATATAAAAATACAAAAAGCAAGTCTGATCCCCGATTCGGAGTTGTCGCACACCGATAAAAATGGTAGGTCGAAAAATATAGTCGTGGTGGGTGCTCAGAGTGCGGCGCAGGCGGCGGGGCGTCGTCAGAGCAAGCTGCAGCGTGACAGCCAAGATGGCGGCTTACGCTGTTGGTCACTCGCACGCAGCACATGCGCGCCACTCCTCGCTCCTGGAGGGTTGCTCGCCTCCTGTACACACATAAAAACATTCACAATTCATATACTTACAGCTAATCTCAAAATGGATACACAAATTGTCTATGCATGGTTTATGCTGGCTATGAAATGCTTAACTCATGCATTAAGCAAAATTTATGGAATTTATGCTAAAAAAGTACAAATTCTATTAATATTGAACCAAAGCAAAAAGAAGCTAAAACAATTAAATTATAATGATAAATCTAGAAATTTGTTTCCAGTATCCAACTATTCTATTAGTATTTCTACAACTTATTTTGCTTTTACATGCGAGAATGACATCAACTTGTAAGGACTATCGCATTACTCAGTCCTATTTATTATTTTTATGTACAAAAATTATCTAAATGCATGCAATCTTTTTATAAATGATGAAAAAATGTTTCTAATGCTTACAATAAATCAAACAATGAAAACAATAAAAAAACTATTAGTTGACTAGAATAAAAAAAAAACAACACAACAGATAAACATTAAGAATTTGCTTTACCTTCTGTTTTTTTTTGTTATGATATGCATGGAACAAAAATAACATATTAGAATATTTAAAAATTATATCATAAAGTAAGAAAATCATTACTTTATCTACAATTATTTTATAAAAAACATGTTATCTTTTTATGTGGGTGAATATCTTACCTGCTTTTTCTCCATTTTCGCTTTAATATCTCTTGCTAGAGTGTAAAATGCGTATTCCACATTTAATGAGTCTTTTGCAGATGTTTCTACAAACTTAATTTGATAATCTATCGCTAATTGTTCACCTCGTTCTTTTGATACCTGAAATTAAAATTATATTTGTTAAATCATTTTTAAGGTTCTGTTCCTAATAGGCAAAAAACGGAACCCTTATAGGATCACTTTGTTGTCCTTCCGTCTTCTGACCCTTTTTTTCAATGACGATTAATTTGTATAGCGCAAAATTTCTTCACATTTATAATCTAAATGGTATTATATAAAATTACTGCTAGACCTTTTTCTGTAAAATATAAATAAAACAATCGCCAAGCTCTGAGTTATTATTCTTGTGTATGAACATTAATTTGTACTCTATAATTATATTACATTTTAAATTTTGACTATATCAGTAAAGGAAATTCACACAAACAGGACATATTCATGTAATTTTACTAATATTATATGTGAATGTTTGGATGGATGTTAGTTTGAAATGTCTGTCTCCGAAATGGCTGGAAATTTAGCACAGACATAGAACATTGGAAGAACATATAGGCTTCTCATTAAGTTATTTTTTAATTCCACACAGATGGAGTTGTGGTGCTAGTATACTATATTTTCATTATTCTATGACATGGTGACAGTAAATGTTGGGTAGTTCCAAAGTTTGTAATTAAATTTAATTTGTACTATGTTCATGTAAGTTGGTTTTGGTGGGATATTGTTTTTCTTTATTGGACATTTTTCTTGAAATTATTAAGATCACCTTATTAATATAACTACAAAAGCGATATTTTAATTTGCTTCAATATTAACCTTAAAAAATCAAAGTATTTTACACCATACAAGTATAAGTTCTGATAGGAAATAATATCAACATATATAATTTATATTTACCTGTCTTTTATCATCTAAGTCACATTTATTACCGAGTATCATCTTTTCAACATCAGCACTTGCATTTTCTTCAATGTTTCTTATCCAATTTTTTATGTTTTCAAAACTTTTCTCATTTGTCACATCATATACTAGCATAATGCCCATGGATCCTCGATAGTATGCCGTGGTTATTGTGCGGAACCTCTCTTGACCCGCAGTATCCCTAAAACATATTTGAAACTTGTCGATTCCTTTTGAAGATATACACGTAAATAGCAATAATATACGAATATTACCATATTTGTAATTTGACTTTTTTTCCATCAAGGTCTATCGTCCGAATTTTAAAGTCGATACCTGAAAACAGACCACTAATATACTCAACGAATATACTAATTAGAGTTTAGTGACTATGATGTCATAAACTGTTCATTCATTTAATTTGATAAGGGCTTCGTTTATGTTGTGCCGCACCCTTTTGGTTCCCACACAAGATGATACTTCCGATGAACAATAAGGCAAAAACGAACTCGTTGAATGACAATTACACACAAAAAATACATTTCTGACAATAACCTTTGATACAAAGACATGAAGGCACTTACCGATGGTTGATATGAAAGATATATTAAAAGCATCTTCAGAAAATCTAAATAATATAGATGTTTTACCAACACCAGAATCACCTATTAAAAGTAATTTGAATAAACAATCGTAAGTTTTTGCCATTTTTTTACAACAATCTGATTACAGAATACACGGTCACTCATTTGGCATTTTTGAGTAATCTAGTAGTGATGGGATAAGTATGATGATTTCATTGTCGATATACGTATCATTGCTATTTATCGATAACTTCCAAAAAGGTTTACAAAATTCGGTTGTGTTTAAAGGGTTTACCATTAATTTTTAAAACCAAAATTTATGATTTTATTAATTAATGCATGTTTGAATAAATTCAACTATGATCACAATGCATTTACATCACCGTCGTCGTAGAAACTTGTTCATTTGTCATGGATTAGAAATGAATACCTAGTGGCATGTGAAGATGCCAGCTTAACACGCTTAATACCAGCGTATCGAATAAAATCTTTCAAAATTGAGGTGCTTAAAGTAATATGAAAATATGCTCAAAGGTATTTAAGTTTGGCAGGAACTTTCTAAATTCCCCTCCTCCACACCACTTTTTAATCTTAAGAAAATTTGGCTGGGCGCATTTTGCTAATTCAACTCATAAGTAACAAATACACCCTTATTTTCTTTCTTTGATATTTTACTACGATTAAACTATAAATAACCAACCGAGATATCGAATGAAGTCTTTTCAGTGGAGTCGATTTTGACTTGACGGAACCAAAGACACATTTATGAGATTATGACAAAGTGACAGAATTTCTGACATTGACATTTGGGACAGGACGCTGGGATCGTAACAGAAATAAATAAGGATTTTTTAAAGATTTTGTTCTATTATTTATCAAAATGAGTTACTAAATGTACTTAAAGTATAATTTACCATATATACTCAAACTAATTTAAAAATGTTTTACCATGTAAGTCATAATATAAATATATTTAGAGTACCTGTTGCTTATTAGTAAACATAACCGGGATTTGCAGATATCTTTAGAACACGAAATATTGCTACACCCCCGATACTTTGGTCCTCAGTTATTGGATACAGTAAAACAGAAGCTTTATACAGAAGTTGAAGGAACATGTACCGGCAAGTAAGTTTTTATCATTT